GTGTGCAAAGGATATGATCACTGTACCACTCCATTTGCAGACTGTGTCTGGGATAGCTCCAGTCATGTTGTTGTAGCTCAAGTTGATAACACGACTATTGATTCTAGCATGTTGTGGTATGCTGCTTGTGAAATGTTCTTGAACAGTTCTACAGTATCAGCTGCACTAAAACGGCTCTCAAAATTTCCCCCACCAGTCTGTTCTTTGCAATCTTTAAGTTTTGATCACTGCAGTTGATGGCGAGTTGACCATGAAAGTTGTTGAATGAAAGATCAAAAATGTATAGACTCTTACCAAACTTATGTGAGTCCAGGTTACAGGTCTCTCGTTGCAAAACGAAGGTGGCAGTGAACCCTTGAACATGTTAAAAATCAAGTCAATTGAGGTCATATTCACGGGAAGTGCAGTTGATAACATTTTGCCAGTGAAGTAATTACCAGATAAATCCAGATCAACAAGTTTCCTGCACGTTTATCAACGTAGATGGGTGAGATTACTGTAATCAAGCCAGAGGGTTTGGAGATTCTTCAGCTCCCCCATAAATAGTTTGCAAATGTGCAATTGAGAAGCTGACCCCCAGCTTGATCTTTCCAAGAATCACTGCAGATCCTCCGAATCACGAATAACGTGTTTCTCACTTCAACTAACACTGCTTCCACTGGCACGTCGTAAACAGGTTGGGACTAAACAATTTTTTTCGTGCCGAAAACTGTCAGCATTTAAAAATCGCAGCAGCTCATTTCCTGAGTATTGATTAGCTCCCTATTAAGGCTTTTCCAGTCATATCAAACAGTCTTCACTGTCTGTTGAATGAAACAATGACTATTGGCATGTCATTCCGAATTGAGAAGCTGACCCCCAACTTGAGCTTTTCAAGAATCACAACTCCAACTACAGATCCCACTCTGAATCATGTGTTTCTCACCCCATAGACACCATTGTTCCCAGAATCGTCGAGCCGGTAGTGCTGACCTACACTCAAGCGCCGCAAGGATCAACTGAGAAGCTCAAACACAGCCTTTCTGGGCTGCTAGGCTACTACCGAGAATGGGCGGGACGAATCAGCTCCAAAAACGATCCTCATGTAAGCAGCCGGAGTATCGCATCAGCTTCAAAAACGAAGGCGTCGTCTTTGTGGAGGCGAACGCCGATGACAAGCTGAAAGATCATCTGGAGCGGGATCATGGCGCTCTGGAAGAACTCATGCCGCTCTCAATGTCGTTGTCTCCACCACCTTAACTTCTTCATGTTCAAGTAAGTCTCTGATCTGCTTGAATCAATGCTGAAAGATTTTCTTTTGCTGCGGGGGCCTTGTGCTTGGTTTGGGAAGGCATCACTATGTCACAGACGCGCATGGATTCGTCACACTTCTCAATAGCTGGGGTCGGTCAACCAGAGGTTTACCATGGTTGACTAAACCCGTTCACGACCGTTCCATGCCCATGCCTAACATCCATGGCCAGCCTTCCTTCGAACACAAAGAGTATCCCGTCACCCGCTTTGCCAGTCCACTTCCCCCGGGACGTGAGTTGACCAGAGTTGACTTCACTTTGAGTTGAACGCCTTGTGCTGCAGGCGAACTCTTCCCATGAATCCTTCGCCACGCACTTGTGGAGATCAGTGACAGTCGCTCGCGGTACAACTTGTAACCCTAGAACGGTTCTTCTTTGCCTGATCAACGGAAGGAAAACGCTGGGAGTTCCTGATAGCTTAGTTGGAATGTAGTGTTTCCTGCCGCAACGGACGCCATTGCATCTGAAGATCTGATTCGCAAACCTCTGAGCTACGCAGCGGGGATTGTCAAGGCGAGTTTGAAGAAAACCAACAACAAGCAGCATATGATTTCGGCGGTGGATTACGTTTTCAAGAATCTGAAGCCCAACACGGCCGGGGGAAGCAGGACGGGATACGATCCTAATGTTCTCATAACGGGGTGGTCAGGACTGCCGTGGAACGATGTCGATTTTGGATTTGGACATCCCAGTTTTGCTGGGCCGATTGGATCCCACATGGAAGGCGTGATTCGAGTGATTCCGCGGTCAAAGGCAGGAGATATGGGCGTGAGAAAGATCAGATGGTAAACTTGAAAAAGCTTCTGTCAGTGAATGTTTAAGCAAGAAATGACTAAAGGTCCGATCAGTGTGGTGAGCTGCAGTAAATAACTCTTTTTTGCATTGAGTCCGACATTTCTTCGGAGCATACAGGAGGTCCCATCAAAACATTTAAGTCAAAAAAATTTAGATTGTGCAACACTTTCTCTACAATTTGAGCTTGTTTTAAAATATGTTTTCGAAAAAACAGAATATCATCATCACAAATGGAATATCTTTACGAATATTCCTACACACTAAAATCTAGGGATTCCAGATTTGGGGGGCATGGCCGCGGCGCCTATTGCTGCTCGAGTTCTTTCGATTAGGGCAAGGTGGTCTGCTCGCGGCTTGCGACTTGAGAAATTTAACTCACCGAACAGAAATCAATTCTTCTTATTATATTCTCTTGTGTATATCAGAAGCCATTACAAGATATGCGGATGCTCTTCCAGCCAAAATCACGGCAATCCTTTTGATACTGGGCAAGTGTAGTAACAGGATTGCCTTGACAATTGAGAGTATTATATAAATATGTCACTTCGTTTCGGTTGTAGAAGAATTCATAACCATCACGATAGTCGATATCGAAGTTTGTACATCCACAATTGCCATAGAAAATCCTGTTATTGTTAGTGGCGGAACAATCCTCGTTCTCCCAGTATGCAAAAAGCCCACTGCCTTTTGCTGCAGAGAACATCAATATGAAGTAAATCAAACCCACTAATTTGGCTGCCATAGAGCCGACTGTTCAAGCTGAAAAGAAGGAGAAAATTTTGAATGTGTGTTGAAGCCAATGGGTCAGTCATCTATATATACATTAGCTAGTAATAGTGTTTCACACTAGAACTACTACTTGAAGTTTCGTAGTTATCTAGTCTTCAAACATTTGGAAAGTCAAAGATGATAGGTGTGACGATTGCTCTCTGGAAAGTCAAAGATGAGGTGTGATGATGACAATGGGCACCTAACCAGAAAAATCCTAACTCAACTTACGTTGGTTCAGTATTACTTAAGTCACCAAAGTGTATATTCTTATGGTTAAAAAATGAATGAAAAATGAACGAAATGTTTTGATCAATACCTCAACGTTGTGCTGCTGAGAGCCTAACCTACACCATTGTCTTCACCATGATGATGGAAAAATTCGTTATGGATTAATCATATGAAACCTTTTATACGGAAGCCTAGGATCCTGAGAGATCGTATGAGATCTCCAACACTCCCCCTCAAGCTAAGACGCCAAGCAGCAGACGAAGCTTGAAGAAGAGTCTGACAAGAAGTGGTTTGGTGAAGATATCTGCGATTTGATCAGAGGATGGACCATGCTCGAGTTGTATGTCTCCATCTGCAACGCATTGGCAGATGAAGTGCTACTGAGTATTGATGTGTTTGGTTCTGGAATGAAGAACAAGATTTTTGCTGATGGCGATTGCACTTTTGTTGTCACAGTAGAGTGTTGTTGGACTCTTCTGTTCCTGCTTCAGTTCATTGAGTAGTCATCGCAGCCAAACAATCTCTTTTGCTACCAATGTTGCTGCCAAATTCTCTGCTTGCTGAACTATGCTACAGAACCACCGGCAAGCAAGCAACAGACTCCTGACGTTGATTTCCTTGTCTCCAGATCCCCTGCCCAATCAGCATCTGAAAAAGCTTGCAGTCGAAACTGTGGAGAAGCTTTTTGCTGGAACAGCAGTCCAAAGTCTTGAGTGCCACAGAGGTATCTGAGAACTCGTTTTGCTGCTTGCCAGTGGACTGTTGTTGGAGATGAGTTGTATTGGCTAAGAACTCCCTCAGGACGAGTTATGTTGGCAAGGTAGAGCAGCCCCCCAACGAGTGATCTGTAACAACTCCCCCTCAGCAGTTGGCTTGTAGCTAAACTGGTCGACTATTGGACATGTTGAATTGTTGAAGCAGATGTTGTGTGTAGTTGGATTGGGTGAACTTCAGAAGGCCTGCATCTATGTTGCGAGTGAATTCAATGCAAAGGACTTTAGAAGCTTCACCGAGATCAGTCGCTGCTGCAAAATCTGCTTCACTCGATTAATGAGGTCATTGCTATTTTCAACCAGCAGGCAATCATCGATATAAACTGCCATCAATGTGAATATTGCCACTATCTTTCATCACATAGAGGTTCCCATCCAACTCCAGCTTGGTGAATCCAGAACTTCTGAGGTGTTGATCGATGCAGATGTACCACTGCCTCGCCGTCTGTTTTAGCCTGTAGATAGCTCTCCAAACTAACTCGTGTCCATCTTTGTTGTGTTCCATAAAACCTGGGGGTGGCCATAAATAGATTTTCTCGTCAAGTCCAGAGTTAAGGATCAGTTTTGACGTCCATGTGATGGAGTTTGAGGTTGAACTGAGCTGCTAATGCTGCCAGAGTACGAATGCTCGTTGACTTGACGATGGGAGAGAAGGTTTCTTGAAAATCAATCCCGAGAATTTGTGAGAAACCTTGAGCAACATACCGAGCTTTGTATTGCTTAATCTTGCCATCCCGCCACATGAGTGTGTTGATCCATCATCCGCTTACAATTTTGCGATCAGGATGAGAATGAACGAGCAAGTACATGAGGCGGTCGTTGTGAGATTGAACTTCTTCATTCATCACTCGCTCCCAGTATTTGCTCGCTGGTGAGGTGCTCGATTCTTCATATGTTGATGGCCTGTATGCTTCTTCTTCGTTTGTCAGGGCCGTCAAAGCTCACAGACGGGTTCGGGTGGATTTGCCTTCTTGATTCCGACCATAGCGGAGAGGATCAAATGGAGTCAGCCTGTCAACTTCTGGCACGCGTGACGAACCTGCTTGTTGCTCGAGCACTAGATCTGCTGGTGTCTCTTGGAGGAACTCACCAACCTCATGCTGTGAGAAAACCTTAAATTTCTTAGAGTTTAAACAGAATGTTCATCCCAGCATAAGTAAACTTAACTATTGAAACTAAGTTCTTGACAAGTTGTGGGACAAACCACCCATTATTCAAAGGCAAACTCTTCGAACCAACTTGCACCACTGCATCCCCATTTCCAGAAACTTCAACAACTCCACCATTTCAAACTCGAACTCGACCTGCTAGTGAGCGCTTGAGCTTGGAGAACGCTTGCTCATCCTTCATCAGGTGTTTTTCACATCCTGAATCAAGTGTTAGTGTGCAAGAGGATTCAACTCTGGTTACCTCGTCTGTGACTGCCTCCTGCTGTTCTATTTGAGCTGAACCTGCAAAATTTGCTGCAATCTCAAGTTGGCTGAGCCACTGCAGAACTTAACAATCTTTCTTGAGATGCCCTTCCAATCCACAGCCATAGCATGTTGAAGCACGACGAGCTCCAAGATTGTCAGTTCCATCACTTTGTAAGCTTCCTTGACTACTGCTTGGGCGTCCTTCTTGAATTCTGTGTCCACGTCCTCGCCGCACCCTCACCTTCGACCATGGCCATCTGCAGAAGCTTCTTCAACCCTTGCCTCAACTCTCGCTGACAAAGCATTGACATGAGAACCTGATCCGTTCTCTGCCAAGAACTTACACTATGTGAGAGAAGAGTTTCAGCATGTTCGAACGTTGTGGCTGCTACCCTCACTGCCATGACGATTTCTGTGAAAACTCTGTCATCAAAACATTCACAAAGAGCATCAATTTTGCATGCTTCAGAGAATCCCACAGCGCAGCCTTCCAGGTCATCCCAATGCTCCTGCAGCTTGCCCACCAGATCTTCAAAACTGTCACCAATCTTGAATTGATTGCAGTTTCGATCGTGCTGACCTTGGAGGCCCGTAGTGATTTATGAGGTAGATCCAGATCTGTTGAGCAGAAAGATTCCTTACCCTCATCAAGATCACATCCACTAGCTTGGAAAGGATTGCTGTCTTTGCCTTATCTTTATCTTCCGGGTCAAATCCTTGCTCATCCCTTAAAGTGAACAGACTCCTCTCATTAACTTGACAGAGCCTGAGAGTAACCCACCACCAAAAACAACCACTGGGAGAACAAATTGTGGCGGTGCTGTTGCAAAACTCCCTGCAACTCAGTCTGGGGGAATTGCTTGTGTTAGCTCTGCACCTCAAAGTGCAGGTTGCAAATGCCATTGAGTCGGGGAAACCTGTGAGACCCTTAGAAGATAACAAGGTAACAATCTCAAAGGACAAAGCTGACTGGGATGAGAAAGTACCAACTATATCGAAAGGAATGAAGTCGGTGATATATCTATTGATGGAGGTTCGGGAGTCAATACAAGAAGAGGAAATGTTCAAGACACTGGGACCAGGTGCACTGGAGATGGCCCCATTCCTAGGTGCATCCGGTTGGGATTGTGCCGGAGTGAAAATCAACATCAATGGAATATGTTGAAGCTTTTGGCTAAACCTCCCTACCATTTGTGACCGTGGCTAAGAGAGGCCAAAGCATGACACGACTGGGAGAAGAATGAGAAGACAGTCATTATCATCCGTGAGCACAAGACCCAGATAGGCAACATGGAGCAACCACAGAAATTGGAAGATTACAACTGGTATGACGGGTTCACCATGGAGGATGAAGACGCGCTGTTTTGGAACTAACTGGAAGTGATGGAGATTGAGCAGGTAGATTTGTACCAGATCACAATGACACACGTGAACGCCATATTGGAAAACATGGCTGCACTTGGAACTGAGAAATTTGTATGGCCAGTGGTGGAGGAAATCCAGCCGGAGACAGAACACAATTAGTTTAACGTGGTTGCCATGCAGATGGAGACAACAACTAATGAGCAAGTAGAAGTCACCATCAACCACAGAACTGCTGGCGAACACAAGGTTCATATCACACCATATTTGGATCCTGCATTCAGAACAGAAGACTTGGCTCTTCTGAGGAAGAATGTGGACGTTTTTGCTTGCAGCTATGAGGATTTGAAGGGGGTGCCACCTGTGATTTACACACATCAAATAGAGCTCATCCCTAATGGTGAAGCATGGAGACAGCAAGCATATAAGATGAACCAAATTTATTTTGTTAAAGTCAAGAAGGAAATTGATGGAGAATGCACAGTGGTTGTCACCTATTGTGGTGGTGCTTAAGAAGAAATGGAAACTGCACATTTGTGTGGACTACAAGAAGTTGAATGTAGTCACACAAAAAAGATGCATACCAGATCCCATACATGGAGGAGATTCTTGCTGTGCTGGCCAGCCATAACATGTACTCTTTTTTAGATGGATTGACCGGCTGCAAGTGGAAGAGTGTGACCAACCAAAAATGGCGTTCATTAGTCCATGATGAGCATACACTTAATGGGTCATTTACATTCCAGTAACTGGTGTCAGAAGCATTTAGGGAGTATCTCTTGATGTGAAATGCCAAGGGCTCCAGATCGTAGAGAAATGTGTTTTCTTCACAAAGTCTGGTGACCATATCATGGTTCAAGTGGAACCTAGCATGTGACGAGGGCTTTCAGGAGTTGAAGAGTGTACTCACAAATGCACCCATCCTTGCCTCCCTGAGGTGGGACAGGGAGTTTCATGGGGAGGTAAACATCACCGACATCATAATCAGGTGCATCCTGATACAGACCCGGGATGACAGGAACGATCACGGATCAAAGAGGTTGTCACCCGCAGAGAGCAATGACACAACCACAGAGAAAGAGGCACTTAGCATGATGTACTTGGTAAAGAAGTTCAGACACTACCTTCTAGCAAACAAGGTAAAGTTCATCGTGGATCATAAGCACTCGTACATTTGTTGAAGAAAACGAGGCACACAGGAAGACTGACGTGATGGTTCCTTGTTGTTGCAAGAACTTGACTTTCAGATCATACGCTGACAACAAGCAAGCCGATTATATGAGCCGCATCACCATGGGAGAACCACCTACGGGAGTTCCCCATGAGAATGCCGATGCCAGCACAGCACAATCATTCCAGATTGCACTTATGGAGTGAGAAAAGTGTGTTGCAGCGGTCGCCACAGGAACGAGAATAGGATTACGAGCAACAAGAAGTACAAGAACAAGAGCCAGCACAAGAAGGAAGACCCTATGCTGAAGACTGGAGACGGAAGCCTGAAATTGGTGTTGAACAGGAATATTAAAACTCTCGCTGGGGCTCTCCTTATATAGTCTCCCTCAGCGTGCTAGGAAGCTTCACGGAAGGTGCACTGGAAGGTTTCGGAACTTGCTGAAGACGAACTTGCTAAATTGAGAATGTGGCGGTTACATTGGACTTAAACTTACATTTGCTATTTTGGGAAGTCTTCTGTATGAAGAAACTGAGGAAGCTTTTGGAGCCTTGCTTGAAAAGCTTCCGAGTATGATGGAATATTCAAGGAATCTTACGGAGAAATTTTTTTAAAGAATGTACCGGAGTGTTAGACAGAATGTGTCCATATATACTGGTTCCGTGACATTATTCCCCTTTTCCATGACGAATTCCACAAATCATTGGTCCTGGTTTGAGTGGGTACCACATGTGGAAGTCAGATAGTTTACTTGAAACATTTATTAAATTTCCTGAGGGTTCCCATGTCCAATCACTTGAGGATTAGCCAACCCAGTCAACGAAGTAGTACAGTCGATGGTGAAGGATCTTGGAATCTAGGATCCCAACAACTTCGTACTCAGAGTGACCATCGATCTGGACTTGGGGAGCTAGTGGGATGACTCAACCTGGGATGTCGTTAACAATGTATGGTTCAAGCAAAGAAACGTGGAAGACAGGATGAAAACAGATGGTCAAAGGAAGATACAACTGATATGCAACCTCATGAATGCAATCAGAGATGCAAAAGGGACTGAGGCATTGATAGTCAAATTTACCAAATAGACAAGTAGTCTGAATGTTATGCTGAAATAACCAAATTTGATCACCAACCTTGAACTCAGAAGCCGTGAGGCGATGTCGATCAGAAGCGAGTTTGTGACATTCATGAGCCTCGAGTAAATGCTGTTAGTGATCATGAATTTGATCATGTTTTGAGGCATCCTGCTGTGGGTCGATTCATCACTCACTGTGGGTGGAACTCGACACTGGAGAGTGTTTGCACGGGCGTGGCAATGATTGGCTGGCCGTGTTTATCCGAGCAGAATCTGAACTGTGCGTTTCTGGTGGAGAAGAAGCTCGCATTGAGCCTGCGAAGGAGACAAGACGGAGTTATTGACAAGGCAGTGATCGAGGAGGCTGGCAGAGTTCTGATTAATGGGAAGGGAAGGAGATATGACGAAATTTGGGTGAGCTTGGCAGGGATGCCAAGAGGGCCGTTGTGCAAGGGGGTTCGTCTTCTGCAAACCTGGAGTTGTTTGTTGAAGGCTTGAGAGCTATGTAACAAGAAGCTGTTAAAAGAGTATGTCCTCTAGTATGTACCTTAATATTCACCTTTGAACTGCAAGATCATAGATCGATCTTACGATATACATCAAAGTGTAACATTCTAAAAATATACCAGAATATCCAGGACTTGCTCCAGAAGCTGAGATCCAAGAAGGCTGTTGCTTTCCATCTCCAGAGGCAGATTAGCCAGCCCGTTAGGTTGTGAAGAAACTCCCGCTGAGCAAAGGATATTCATAGCGAGATTCAGTTAAGGATTAAGAATTAGAGTCAGGCTGAAGCGAACATTATTCCGTTTAAAAACCATTATACAGCCAGGGCAGCATACTCGTTTCTTCTTCATCATTCCAAAGCTCTACACGTTTCACTCGCTCACATACTTTGGCAATTGGATGAATGACACGTGTCAAATCAAAAATCATAAACCGAACATTTAAACTAAACGCAGACTGGTCACTCAAATGAAAGAACACAGGTCAGGTTAAGGGAGTTAAGCCGATTATGCCCATTATAATCAATTTTTGAATTTTGATTCTGCTTCTTTTGCTTTCTCTGCTGATTCTGCTGCTTTGGAGATGGCTGATACTGAGATCCAGCCGGTCGCGGAGATTGCTGATCCAGAGATACAGCCGGGCCTGAGGCTAAGAAACCTCAGCTTGAAGCGCATTTGCTACTGTTTCTGCCACCGATGACGAAGAAATTGACTTGACCAAGACAGAGGAAGAGGCTGGAATGTTCTTCCTGCTTGCAGGGGTACGCGAATGGCTCAGAAGAGCTGCTTCGGTTGCTGTTTCGGATAATCCCCCAGCAGATGCTGCAATGCAAATTGTAAGGCTAAAATTCATGAATTTGCTACAAATTCGCCTCAAGCTTGCCACAAATAATATGCATCTACAAAATTGCCTCTAAAAGCTACATCAAATATTTTGCCTCTACACCAACAAAAAGGATTTCCTCACCATCACATCAAACCTAGTCTGATTAGGACTTTGTTAGGTTACAACCCCAGATTGACCTGCACGCCAGCCGATCTTCTTCAATCGTTTGTTTGTTCACAACGGCAAAGCTCTGGGAGAACAGATGCCTGGCTTGATCTATGGAGTTTGGCCAGCCTGGGACTCTTGGATCGCATGAACGGTGGAGACTTCCTGCGGGTACACGACAACGGTACACCCATTCTTGAGATTGAGCCTCTGGTAGTTCCGGGTGCAACTGATATTACGTGGGAAGTGATCAAGTACGGCACCAAGCATAGCTTTCCGCCCGCAGATGCTTTTGTCATCCGTCTTCGTCATCGAACTTGGCAGCAACAACATCTTCCGCTTGTGGCTGCAAACACCAACCTGAACACAGAACTCTGGGACGTCATTCGGATCTTGACTCTATGGATGATCTACAGAGAAAGAATTGACGTCTTATATCACTGCAGGACTCAGCCGAACGACATCAGAGCCGCTGTCAGCTTTTGGTTGGATCTCTTGGTTTCACTCGCGTCTCGATGGAAGAGGATCAAGCACAGGTCAGCAAAAAAGCAGCAGCAGTTCCTTGGCACGTGGCTGGTAATGAGGACT